AATTGATGCAATTATTGTTTAATACTGTATGGTGTATACATGTGAGTGTATGAAAATGAAAATAAAATATACTTTAAAAAAAAAAGTTTTTTAACTATCCTTTTTTCTTTCTTTCTGCCCCTGCAGTATGTGGTCCACAGCTCACCAATTCCCCCACCGTAATCGTGATGGTTGGACTGCCGGCTCGCGGGAAAACCTACATTTCCAAAAAACTCACCCGCTACCTCAACTGGATTGGAGTGCCGACGAAAGGTGAGCTCTGACCCAATTTTTTTTTTTAATTGGGTGGTGCGAAATCAAACTGCTTGCGAGCGTCGAAGTTTGAGGCCTTTCAACCTGAGGGGAGTAGTCCTCGAGTTATGACCACCATTGAGCTCAATGTTTCCATTTCTAAGCGAGACATTTGGGGTGTTTTGTCCCGTTTTATGACCTTTTCTCACCACGGTTGTTAAGTGAATTGCTGCTATTAGCTTAGTCAGTGGTTCCCAAACTTGGCAACTTTAAGACTTGTGGACTTCAACTCCCAGAATTCTCCAGCTGACTGGAGAATTCTGGGAGTTGAAGTCCACAAGTCTTAAAGTTGCCAAGTTTGGAAACCACTGGCTTAGTCACACGGTTGTTAAGTGAATCTGGCAACTCCGTTGACTTAGCTTGTGGGAAGGTCGCAAAAGGGGATCGCGTGACCCTGCGATATTGCAACCGTCATAAATGTGAGTCCGTTCCCAAGTGTCCGAATCTTGATAATGTGACTACGGGGATGCTGCAATGGTCGTAAGTGTGAAAAACGGACATAGGTGACCTTTTTTTCAGCACCGTTGCAGCTTTGAACGGTCCCTAAATCAACGGTTTTAAATTGAGGACTACCTGCATGGAATTTGGGTGGCAACTGTTATTGAAGTGGGGTGTCCTTAACGTCCGAGAATGGAACCTGTGGGTGTGTGAACCATGAGCCCAGCTCGGCTGCAGCATCTAAGAGGCCTTGGCTAATCTCTGGAGCCAGGCAGGATCAAATCTGGATGGAGAACCGCCAGGAATTCTGAAGAGGGCACAAAAATTAAAAAAAAACACACACAAACACACATTTTATAAGAAGTTTGATTGACGTCTTCATCTGCTTTGCAGTGTTTAACGTGGGGGAGTATCGGCGCGAGGCTGTGAAACATTACAGCTCTTACAACTTCTTCCGTCCAGACAATGAGGAGGCCATGAAAGTGCGCAGGTAAGTCTCAAATTTCCTTGAGTTGGTTTTCTTTCTTTCTTTTCTTTCTTTCTTTCTTTCTTTCTTTCTTTCTTTCTTTCTTTCTTTCTTTCTTTCTTTCTTTCTTCCCCTCCCTCCTTTCCTTTCTTCTCTCTCTCTCCCTTCTCTTTCTTTTCTTTCCTTCCATTCCTTCCTGTCCTTTCTTCTCTCTCTCTCTCTCTCCCTCTCTCTTTCTTTTTTCCCTTCCTTCCTTCCATTTCCTTTTCCCCCTCTCTTTCTTTCCCTTTCTTTCTTTCCTTCCTTCCTTCCTTCCT